ACTCGCTTGAGCCCGGGAATTAGGATTATAAAATCCATGCTTTCCTGTATTTGTTTACACATAGTAAAGCCCTCTTGAAAATGAGACAACCAACCAGGCTAAATTGCCAAATGTAAAAATTTGTTTCTATGGGTCAAATAATGAATTTACTTATTCATTCATTCATTCGAGACAGAGTCTCACTCTGTTGCCTCAGCATTTATTTATATTTATCTATCTATTTATTTATTGAACAGAACCTCACTCTGTCACATTGGGTAGAGTGCCATGGCATCACAGCTCATATCAACCTTAAACTCTTGGGCTCAAGTGATCCTCTTGCTTCAGCCTCCTGAGTAGCTAGGGCTACGGGCATCTGTCATAACGTCAGGCTCATTGTTTCTATTTTCAGTAGAGACAGCGTCTCACTGTTGCTCAGGCTGGTCTCAAACTCCTGAGCTCAAGGGATCCTTCTACCTTGGCCTCCCAGAGACCTAGGATTACAGGTGCAAGCTATTGCTCCAGGCCCAAATAAAGAAATATCATGCATAAACTAGTTCATTTAATTTTCTGACTTGACATGAGAAACCTCTCTATAAAACATCTTTTAAGAGTATAGCAAAAACTTTTTCTATTCTGATTCCAATGAAATAATCATATTATACATTTGTTCTATATGCACCTAACACTGGGCACTATCCATGAGAAATAGGCAAATGTGGCAAGTAAAAAAATGCTTAGATCTTATTTTCTACCATTACTGGAGGTTCACAGAAAACTAACCTTAAATTTAGATAATAAATAGGTAGTTAGAAGACTATAACTATTCTAGAAACCTATCTGTATGACATAAAATAATTCCTTTCCAAACTAATTAATACTCATTTGGTATAAGATGGAAACAGTATAATTGAAGCACATACAATATCATAATTATATAACATGAATCCAAGGACCTTCAGACACTAGAAATAAATGCAAAAGAAATGCTTTCTAAACTTGAGAAGTTTAGATCTTATTTTCTACCATTACTGGAGGTTCACAGAAAACTAACCTTAAATTTAGATAATAAATAGGTAGTTAGAAGACTATAACTATTCTAGAAACCTATCTGTATGACATAAAATAATTCCTTTCCAAACTAATTAATACTCATTTGGTATAAGATGGAAACAGTATAATTGAAGCACATACAATATCATAATTATATAACATGAATCCAAGGACCTTCAGACACTAGAAATAAATGCAAAAGAAATGCTTTCTAAACTTGAGAAGTAAAATAAAACTAAAGATTTTTAAAATGTGTATGATTGAAATAAATATAATTGGGAAGTCATTTTAAATTTACTAAGACCATAAAACTAAAGAGTTCAATTAAATTCAAAGAAGGTGATCAAATTTGGCTATATTATAGGCCAAATTTATTTATTTTGATTAGAAAAAGGCCTTTATATTGAGCACAGGTGACCATTTGAATTTAATAAATGCCAGTGCTTTCTGATTGGGTATTGAAATTTAAATCAAGAGTTAGAATTTGGTGGCATTTTTGAAGCAAAATTTTTCCTTTCTTCATTGTGCCAAAAGGCATGCATTTGTTAAGACTGCCCAACCAAAACAAATGTGAAAATTAATCTGAATGTTATGTGATCTAAAATGTTAACCTGTATAACAGAAGTAAATTCTCAAACAAAAGATATTCATTTCAGGCAGCACCCACAGCTCATTGGGTAGGGTGCCAGCCACAAACAACAAGGCTGGAGGGTTCGAACCCTGCACGGGCCACCGAAAATAACAATGACAACTGCAACAATAAACAAAAAGTAGCCAGGCACTGTGGTGGGTGCCTGTAGTCCCAGCTACCTGGGAAGCTAAGGCAAGAGAATCGCTTAAGCCCAAGAGTTTGAGGTTGCTGTGATCTGTGATGCCACAGCACTCTACCCAGATGACAGCTTGAGATTCTGTCTCAAAATAAATAAATTAATTAATTAATTAAATAATAATTTCAGAACATTCACTGCAAAAGTTCTTATGATTAAAAATTTTAGAGGTCATTGATGACTCTGATAAAAGGTAGCCAGGACCTAGGCATGTAGTCCTTTTAACAGATGATTATTCCAATACCAAAGTTTTAATTGTCTTTAATGAAAAGTATGGCAAATCCTACTCAGAATCTGTGATTCTTAAACCTTGAAATTTTCTGGTCCATCAGTTAGAGTAAGTAAGAGTGAACCTCAAAATTTCAGGCCAGGCACAGTGGCTCCTGTCCATAATGCCAGCAACTTTCTGAGGCCAAGCCACAAGGATCACTTGAGGCCACAAGTTTGAAATCATCCTGTGCAAAACAGCGAGACTCCATCTCTACCAAAACTAACAAACACACCTCAATATTTCTCCAGCAGAAAAATTACCCCATGTATAGACATGTACTTATGAGGAAAGAACACTTTTAAACTCAACAAACTAGCCTATAACCAAAAGGAGTTATAGAAATGATCTTTTATTACCTGAGCAACATCCTCAAGTTTATTCCACTTGATTGACAGCAATAATTTTGGCAGTGACTGTGGGAAATTCTCTCTGCAGTCTTGTCGCAATGTCCAAATAAGATCCATTTCATTCTCACAAAGTTGAGACAAGGGATCCCTGTCCAAGATTTCCTTCAGTACAGCAAGAAATTTCTTTCCACCTCGACTCTAAGAAAGTAAAACACTCATTATAGAAAATAATTGTATAAACATCATTTGCAGTCAGCAAATTTAGATACAATGATTTACATATATAATTTATGAGCTTTAGCACATTAGATAAAAACATAATTTCTGAAGAAATACACAAAGGTAGGTCCTTTATAGAAGTTTTATTGCTCAATATTAAATTTGTAAGCTAAGGATGAAGAAAATTATTCTGAAAACAGTTCTTAAAAAGGAAAAATAGTGTTTTCAAAAATCTAAATACAGTAGAACCTCTATCCCCTAGTAAACCATCCTCTACACTGACTTCCTCCTTTTTTTGGCAGGCGTCCTGCTGCCCTGTACAGAGTGTTGTGGTGTCATCATAGCTCACAGCAAACTCAAACTCTTGGGCTCAAGCAATCCTCTCGCCTCAGCCTCCTGAGTAGCTGAGGCTATAGGCATGTGCCACCATACCCAGCTAGCATTTTCTATTTTCAGTAAAGACAGTGTCTCCCTGTGGTACGAGGTGGTCTTTAACTCCTGAGCTAAAGCAATTTACCCACTGTGGCCTCCCAAAGTGCTAGGATTACAGGCATGAGACCCCATACCCCGCTGACCACCCCCTTACGTTAACCTAATATTCATAGATCAGACATCCACCACATAAACATATCAGTAGATATAGGTCTAGTTCTTTATGTTGACCACCTTCATATGTTGCCCAGTCTGTTCCAGTGCCTTGGGTGTCAACTTACTACTACTGTATGTAGTACAACTTATAAGAAGGTTCAAGTTCTACCGTGCTTGAAACGTATAAACACTAGGTGGCAGTACTGCTTTTTGACTTAAAAACCAAGTAACATCTGAACTGAAATTTTTCTTTAATTTTCTAATTTCCACAAACAAACAAAAACACAAACAAAGTCGACCCCAGTGTACCAGAATAAAAACAAAAGTAACATCTGTGCCTTGAATTAATGGCATAAAATCTCCTAAGATTAACAAAAAGATATTGAAATAGAAAATTTCAATTTTACTTCCCTGGTGGCACCCGTAGGGGCGCTGGCCACATACACCCAGGCTGGTAAGGTTCGAACCTAGCCCAGTCCAGCTAAAACAACAATGGCAACCACAACAAAAAGATAGCTGGGTATTGTGGCAGATGCCTGTAGTCCCAGCTACATGGGAGGCTGAGGCAAAAGAATCGCTAAGCCCAAGAGTTTGAGGTGGCTGTGAGCTATGATGCCACAGCACTCTACTGAGGGCAACAAAGTAAGACTCTGTCTCAAAAAAAAAAAAAAAAAAAAAAAAAAGAACTCTTGATACTTACTGACACATTAGCACTATCACTGCTTGCGATCTCAGCTGCTTTTTCAATAATCTGTTTAAGAAAACAATTTTAATTAAATTTGGCTCTCATATTTGTAGAATTAAGTATAAGCGAATAAAACTATACTTAGCCTGCCTACATTCACTCCAGCATTTCTATGCCTTATAAAACAAACATGAATTTTAAAAGTAAAATGATACTTCCCAATTGCTTCAAACTCTTGACAGAAGAAAATAATGGTAAAACTGTAAGAAACTGAGACTCCTAAGGAACACAATAATTATCTGTAGAGAAAATTAGTAGGCATGTTGTATATGTTAAACCTTTTTTTTTGAAATATAGGTAAATGAATTCTAGTTAAAAAAATTCAAATGTAGGCTTGGCGCCTGTGTCTCAACCAGCTAAGGCACCAGCCATATACACCTGAGCTGGCAGGTTCGAATGAAGCCTGGGCCTGCCAAACAATGATGGCTGCAACCAAAAAAAAGAAAATAGCCGGGCGTTGTGGCAGGCACCTATGTCCCAGTTACTTGGGAGGTGGAGGCAGAAGAATTGCTTGAGCAGAGGAGTTGGAGGTTGCTGTGAGCTGTAATGCCACAGCACTCTACCCAGGGCAATAGTTTGAAGCTCTGTCTCCAAAAAAAAAAAAAAAAAGAAAAAGAAAGAAAATCAAATGTATATAGTAATTACTAAATGCAGAATAAGGTTTTGTCATTATTTATTCCTCAGTATCAAAAGCAAAAGCAATAACAAAGGAAAAGTCTAAAAAATATCTTTTTAATTCTTTAATTTCAAAGAGGACCTTCAGGCTTGGAGCCAGGAATTTCAGGGTACAGTGAGCTACAGTGAGCTATGGTGAGGTCACTGCACTCTGGATTAGGAAACAAGGCAAGACCCTATCTCTTAAAAAAATAAAAATAGGCTCGGCACTTGTGGCTTAAGTGGCTAAGGTACCAGCCACACACACCTAAGGTGGCAGGTTTGAATCTAGTCTGGGCCCGCCAAACAACAATGATGGCTGCAACCAAAAAATAGCTGGGTATGTGGTGGGCGCCTGTGGTCCCAGCTCCTTGGGAGGCTGAGGCAGGAGACTCGCTTGAGCCCAGGAGTCAGAGGTTGCTGTGAGCTGTGATGCCACAGCACTCTACCCAGGGGGACAGCTTGAGGCTCTCCTCTCAAATAAATAGATAAATAAATAAAAATAAAAATAAGAAAAAGGTGGCCCTCATTCTTAATAAGAAAAGAACTCATTTGACCAATGGAAGATTAATGGAGAAAAGAAGATTCATGTCCTGTTACTGAGTTATACAAGCCTGAGTAAATAATTTATACATATTCTCATGTGTAAAATGTAGTTCCCATCCTATTCCATAGGTGGTTGTGATAAATGAGATTAAGGTTATGTAAATTAGGCAACAACAAAAAACTTGACTTGAAAAGAAAAATGTAAGCCGGGTGCAACTGCTCATGCCTATAATCTCAGCACTTTGAGAGCCCAAGTGGGAAGAATCACTTGAAGTCAGGTGTTGGAGGTTGTAGCTAGCTATGATCACACCACTACCACAGCACTCCAGTCTGAGTGACAGAGCAAGACCCTATCTCTTAAAAACGAAAAAAAAAGCAAAATGTATGCAATATTGTGATTATACCAATAAGCATTAAATTAAATAAAAAAGACTCAGAGAAATTTCCTCTTTTTATATTTATATTACTTATGATAATCATATATAAGGAATTATACCAGTTATAGACCTTGACAACTGAAGGAAAACCATTTGTTTTTGAGATGGGAGTCTTGCTATGTTGCCCAGGCTGCACTCAAACTCCTGGGCTCAAGTGAACCTCCTGCCTCCCAAATAGCTGGAACTATAGGTGCGTGTCATTGTGCCAGCATATACTTATTTACTTTGTGCCAGCATATAGTTATTTACTTATTTATTTTGAGACAGAGTCTCAAAGTTGTCACCCTGCGTAGAGTGCTGTGGAGTCACAGCTCACAGCAACCTCAAACTCCTGGGCTTAAGTAATTCTCTTGCCTCAGTCTCCCAAGTAGCTGGTGCCCACCACAATGCCTGACTATTTTTTGGTTGGAGTTGTCATTATTGTTTGCAGGGCCCAGGCTAGATTCAAATCCACCAGCTCCAGTGTATGTGGCTGGCACCCTAGCCACTTGAGCTAAAGGCACCAAGCCATGCTTATACATAGTTAATGACTAAAAGCTCTATCCTAAATTGATATTCTTGGAGATAGACTTTCTAAGGGGTTAGAAAAGGAAAAAGACTGGGAGGCCAAGGCGGGTGGATTTCCTGAGCTCACTCATTAGAGACCAGCCTGACCAAGAGTTAGATCCCATCTCTAAATATAACCAGTTGTTATGGCAGGCGCCTGTAGTCCAGGCTACTTGGAAGGCAGAGGCAAGAGAATCACTGCAGCCCAAGACTGAGGTTGCTATGAGCTATGACGCCATGGCACTCTACCGAGGATGACAAAGTGAGACTCTGTCTCAAAAGAAAAAAAAAGCAAAAGGAAAGTTTAATGAACAGTTGCAGAGGACTAAAGCAATGATGAAATAAAACTTTTCTTAAAATATTAGATTTAAAATATTTATATTTACACAGGATGACATATCTGTAAAAATGCTTCAAAAAGCATTTCATCTGATCCAAAAGAAACTATAACTATGGTGAACTATAACTGAACCTAATAACAGTCATGGCTAGGACTAGTAAATATACTACAAGTAGCTAAGGCTTATGGATAAATTCCTAAATAAGGAATAACTAAAGCACCACATAAATGTATTGGATGAGTCAAAGGTAGCCTTATCTATTTGATATATACTATGATACATGGTTCTTACTATATTTGTGATTTCTACCATAATGAGCACAATACTTAATTTGGTTCTAAACTGCTGGTCAGAAAAACACTTTAAAACAACCTGAAATTAAAAGCCATTTCTAAGATAAATAGAATTCAAATTAAAATGAAAATGAAGCAAACATTAAGTTTTATAAATTTAATCTGCATAATACTTTTTAAAGACTCCTCTGTTTCTGGTAGAGTTTAACATAAAATGCAATTATATTTAGAGGTAGGTTAACTTAAACATTATTTAGCATAATATCAATCTTTTAAACATAATTTATTCTCAAATGGATTAAGAAATTGAAGAAACTTTCTATTTATATTCTGAGAATTTGCTCAAAGATTTCCTCATAAAAATCAGTCCCAATCATCCCTGAAACAAGAATGCCAAACCTGAATATAAAAACAGATTGACAGTTCAGCTCTCTTAGCATATAAACTGGCATATACCTATTTTAGACCCCAACCAGATAATCTCCGTGTCCCCAAGATAAACAGTTTATACACTAAGGAAATGTATTTAAAAATGGAATTCTTTCATATATGTTATATAAAAATAACTACCTTAGGAAGCCCTAATAATAGTGATAGTTATCAAAATCATCTGTTCTTGGCTTGGCGCCTGTGGCTCAAGCGGCTAAGGCACCAGCTACATACACCTAAGGTGGCGGGTTCGAATCCAGCCGGGGCCCACCAAACAATAATGGCTGCAACCAAAAAAAATAGCTGGGCATTGTGGTGGGCGCCTATGGTCCCAGCTACTTGGGAGGCTGAGGCAGGAGACTCGCTTGAGCCCAGGAGTTGGAGGTTGCTGTGAGCAGTGAAGCCATGGCACTCTACCCAGGGGGACAGCTTGAGGCTCTGTCTCAAAAAAAAAAAAAAATCATCTGTTCTTTGAATATCAGTTCTAACACAGCAGTTTTACCCTCAATCCCTGAACCAATATACTGGACATGTTTCAATGAACATTTTATATGTTCAGAATTACATATCAATACATTAAGAGGCCCTTTAAAGACCTCAAGACTTTTTATGCTTTCCTCATTTTACAAATAAGGAACCTGAACAAACCCAGGACTCATCTTTCAGGGGAAAGATGAACTTAGCTTCATCTTTCTCCTGAACCAAGCTGGCAATGTGTGGGAATGTGTGGAAAGAGAAATAGACCTACAGAGCTTACACTATAAACATATAGAGCCAATTCAAACATTGCATGCATAGAGTAGAACATTAAATAATTAGCTTACCTTATCGAAGGGAGGGTAATAATAAGGTTGTTTTTTAGTCTCTGGAAATTTAATGTGTAAAGCGGTTGCATTTTCAGTATATGGATTTGTTTGAACAGTTCCCATTGGATTCAACATTTCTTCAAGTTCATCTAAAACATGCAAAAAATTTGATTCTTAAGAAATGTCTATGAAAATATAGAGGGAGCAAGATGGCAACTGAGTAACAGCTTCTTTGCAACCGGGTGCGATGAGATTGGGGAGAGAAGACTCTGGGCATCTCTGGCTTGTGGGTTCTGCCCAGAAACATCCCTTTGGGGACACAGGGAAACAGTGAGAGACTTTTGGACCCCAGGAAGTGAACAAAGGCAGTGGAGAACTGGCAAGTGGTTGCATTCATTCGGTCTGAGGCTGTGGCTGCCATAACTGTAATTACAACAGCAGTGAGACTGCACACGGGGAAGGCCTTCCCTGTGGGCTGTTTGGTTTTTTTGGACTTGGGCACTCGGTTGAACTACCTTGGGAGAACTTAGGCGAGAGTGCGGATGACTTTAAGCATTGTCTATGGCCCCAGACAGAGCTGCTGAGCAAGAACAGAGCTAACAGTGTTTGGTTGTGGGCTGCTGGTTGTGGGCCAGTGAGCAGCCATTGAGGGAGAACTGCCCCTGCAGTTCTGCCACCCTCAGAGGCCCAGAGCGAAGCTCAAGCTCGGAGACCTTGGGCAAGTGATCTAGTGACTGAGCAGCACCCAAGGCTGCGACTGAGATGCTGGGGAAGAGTGGAGATTTCAGTGTTCGGCAGTATTAGGGCAGCTTGCAGCCTCAGTCCTCAGGGGCATAGAGTGAGACCAGTTTTGGCGCACTGGATAAATGGGCAGCCACTTTAGAAGAGATCCCAGCAACAAGTGCTTTTCTGGGAAAGCTTCTGCTTAGCCAAGGTTAACAGTTTAAATGTCTTTTAAGCTAGCTGAGGAGAGATTTAGGCTCTAAACTATGCAGGGTTTGAGAAATCAGCAGAGGCCTCCAATCTCCATCTCATACAGCTGTACCAGCATTGTACTTAACATCTCATACTCCAGAAAATCACCTGTTGCCCAGACAATATTCAGTAAGACATATATACTGCTTTGTTTTTGGTTTTGTTTTTTTCTATTTCAACATTGTTCCCCTAGATTGTTCTTTATTTTCCTTTTCTTTCTTCATTTTTCTAGTTTAAATATAATTTTCCATTGTTGCCTTCTTTAATAAATAAGAACTTCATTTTTGCTAGTGTTTCTGCCCCTATTATTCCCCCCCGCCCCAGTTTTATCCCATAAAGATTTCTGTTAGTTTGTTTTGGTTTGACATATAGTATTTTTGTCTTTCCTATTTGGTGAGGGTAGGGTACTGTGCCTGAATAGGCTGGCAAAAAGTCACTGACCTCAAGGAAACCATCCAACCCAGCACCCTCAGAGGTTGGGGGTTTTAAGGCTGGGTCAAAGTACTCTACTGTACACTTTTATTACCCTGTCTCTCTCTTTCTGTGCCTTTCTTCTTTTTGTCAATATTCCTTTTATAAACCCCCTTCTCCTATCTCTTTTTTCTTTTTTTAAATCTTTTTTCCCTTCTTGCTTTTCAATCTTCTCATCCTTCTGGTTCTGTACCAAAAGGATTCATCGAAACCTTAGGCCAGAGGCATGGTAACTTAAAGAGCAAGAGGAAGTGAAAGGAGAATTAGGGCAGGGAAACAGATAAAAGAAAACACCCATGAGGAAGAATCAGCAAAAAAATCCTGGCAACATGAAAAAACAGTCCAGAGCACCCCCCCTTAAAGATCATGATGTAGCTACTGCAGAGGATTCCACCTATAAAGAAATGTTAGAAATGACAGAAGGGGAATTTAAAATAAAGATGACGAAAACAATGAAGGAAATTGCTGAGAAAGTGGAAAATAACCAAAAGTAAATCCAAAAACAGAATCAAATAAGAGATGAACAATATAAAGAATATACAAAGGATATAGCAGAGCTGAAGGAATTTAAGCAGTCAATTAGGGAAATGACAGATGCAATAGAAAATCTCAACAACAGATTAGACCATGCAGAAGAAAAAATCTCAGAGGTAGAGGACAAAGCTCTTAAGAGACAGATAGTTAAAGAGACAGAAAAGAAAAGAGAGATAGCAGAACATTCAATGACAGAATTATGGTTCTTTATGAAGTGTTCAAACATATGAGTTATAGGTATCCCAGAAGGGGAAGAATGTCCCAGAGGAATGAAAGCCATACTAGAGAATATCATAAATGAAAATTTCCCAAATATCACCAAAGATTTTGACATACTCCTTTCAGAAGGATACTGGACCCCAGGTTGCCTCAACTCTAATAGAACTTCTGCAAGACACATAACAACGAACCTGTCCAAAGTCAAGAAAAAAGAAAAGATTTTGCCAGCTGCCAGGAATAAGTGTCAATTGACCTACAGGGGCAGATCCATCAGGGTGACTGCAGACTCCTCTAATAAAACTTTTCAAGCCAGACAACAATGGTCATCTACCTTTAATCTACTTAAACAGAAAAATTTCCAGCCCAGAATTCTATATCCTGCTAAGCTAAGCTTTAAAATTGACAGAGAAATCAAATCTTTTACTGATATGCAAACAATGAGGAAATTTGCCACAACAAGACCAGCTCTACAGGAAATACTTCAACCTGTTCCACACAGTGACCATCACAATGGACCACCAGCAAAGTAAGCACCCAGAAATTAAAGGACAGAACCTAGCTTCCACAATGATGCAAAAGACAAAACCAAGCAATGGACTTTCACTAAATAAGATGAATAGAATGCTACCACACTTATCAATTATCTCAATAAATGTTAATGGTTTGAATTCCCCACTGAAGAGGCATAGATTGGCTGATTAGATTAAAAAACACAAGCCATCCATCTGCGATCTGCAGGAAACACATCTAGCCTCAAAAAATAAATTAAAACTCAGAGTTAAGAGCCGGAAGACAATTTTTCAGGTAAACGAAATTCACAAGAAAAGAGGGGTTGCAATCTTATTTTCAGATACATGTGGATTTAAAGCAATTAAAGTCAAAAAAGACAAAGATGGTTACTTCATACTGGTCAAGGGAAAAATACAATAAGAAGAAATTTCAATTCTAAATATTTATGCACCCAACTTAAATGCTTCATGATTCTTAAAACACACCTTAATTAGTCTGAGCAATGTGATATCATATATTAATAACAGGAGACTTAATACTCCTCTTACAGAGCTGACAAATCCTCTAAACAGAAATTAAACAAAGATATAAGAGACTTAAATGAGACCCTACAACAGTGGTTCTCAACCTTCCTACATGACTCACAGGTTGAGAACCATTGCCCTACAACTGTGCTTCATAGATGTATACAGGACACTCCATCCCAAAACTAAAGAATGCACATTCTTCTCAGCTGCCCATGGAACATTCTCCAAAACGGATATCTTAGGATACAAAACAAACCTCAAAAGAATAAAAAGAACTGACATTTTATCTTGTATCTTCTCAGCCCACAAGGCACTAAGGTGGAACTCAACTCCAACAAAAAACATTCAACCCCACACACAAAGGCATAGAAATTAAACAATCTTATGCTGAATGACAGTTGGGTGCAGGAAAAAATAAATAAAAGAGGAAATCATTAACTTCCTTGAGCATAACAACAATGAAGACACAAGCTACCAAAACCTGTGGGATACAGCAAAAGCAGTCCTGAGAGGAAAATTTATCCCTTTAGATGCCCACATCCAAAAAACAGAAAGAGAGCACATCAACAAACTCACAAGCCATCTTATGGAATTGTAAAAAGAAGAACAATCTAAGCCTAAACCCAAAAGAAAAGAAATATCCAAAATTAAGTCAGAGATTAATGAAAATGAAAACAAAAGAATCATTCAGAAAATTAATGAAATAAGGAGTTGGTTTTTTGAAAAAATAAATAAAATAGACAAACCTTTGGCCAGACTAACTAGAAATAGAAAAGTATAATCTCTAGTAACCTCAATCAGAAATGATAAAGGGGAAATAACAACTGATGCGACAGAGATACAAGAGATTCTCTAAATACTACCAGCTATGCCCAGAAATTTGACAGTGTGAAGGAAATGGATTAATATTTGGAATCACACCCTCTCCCTAGACTTAGCCAGGAAGAAATAGAGCTCCTGCACAGACCAATTTCAAGCACTGAGATCAAAGAAACAATAAAAAATCTCCCAACAAAAAATGCCCTGGTCTGGATGGTTTCACATCAGAATTCTATCAAACCTTCAAAAAAGAGCTTATTCCCATACTGCAGAAATTATTCAAAAAATTGAGGAAGAATTGAATCTTACCCAACATGTTCTACAAAGCAAACATCACCCTGATACCAAAACCATGAAAAGACCCAACTAAAAAGAACTTCAGACCAATTTCACTAATGAATATAGATGCAAAAATTCTCAACAAAATCCTAGCCAACAGATTATAGCTTATCATCAAAAAAGTCATACATCATGATAAAGTAGGTTTTATCCCAGGGATGCAAGGCTGGTTTATTTTAACATACACATGTCCATAAACGTCATTCACCTTATCAACAGAAGCAAAAACAAAGACCATATGATCCTCTCAATAGATGCAGAAAAAACATTCCATAAAATCCAGCATCTTTGTCTAATTAGAACACTAAAGAGTATAGGCAGAGGTGGCACATTTCTTAAACTGATCAAAGATATCTATGACAAACCCTAAATAAATAGCTAGTATCTTACTGAAGAGAGTAAAACTGAAAGCTTTTCCTCTCCGAACTGGAACCAGGCAAGGTTGTCATCTGTCACCATTACTATTCAGCATAGTGCTAGAAGTTCTGTTCAATACAATTAGGCAAGAGAAGGAAATAAAGGGCATCCAGATGGGAGCAGAGGAGGTCAAACTCTCCCTCTTTGCTGACGATATGATCTTATACTTAGAGAACCCCAAAGACTCAACCACAAGACTCCTGGAAGTCATCAAAAAATACAGTAACGTCTCAGGATATAAAATCAATATCCACAAGTCAGTAGACTTTGTATACAACAATAATAGTCAAGATGAGAGGCTAAATAAGGACACAACTTCCTTCATCACAGCTTCAAAGAAAATGAAATATCTAGGAATATACCTAACAAAAGAGGTGAAGGACCTCTATAAAGAAAATTATGAAACCCTAAGAAAGGAAATAGCAGAGGATATTAATAAATGGAAGAACATACCATGCTCATGGCTGGAAAGAATCAACATTGTGAAAATGTCTATACTTCCCAAAGCAATCTACCTATTCAACAACATCCCTATTAAAATACCAACATTGTACTTTCAAGACTTGGAAGAAATGATTCTTCGTTTTGTATGGAACCAGAAAAAAAAACCTGTATTGCTAAGGCAGTTCTTAGTAATAAAAACAAAGCCAGAGGCATCAGCATGCCAGATTTTAGGCAGTACTACAAGGCCTTAGTGGTCAAGACAGCGTGGTACTGGCATAAAAATAGAGACATAGACATTTGGAATCAAATAGAAAACCAGGAAATGAAATTAACATCTTACAACCACCTAACCTTCAATAAACCAAACAAGAACATACACTGGGGGAAAGACTCCCTATTCAATAAATGGTGCTGGGAGAACTGTATATCCACACGTAAAAGACTAAAACTGGACCTGCACCTTTCTCCACTCACAGAATTGATTCAAGATGGATGAAGGACTTAAATTTAAGGCATGAAACAATAAAAATCCTCAAAGAAAGTGTAGGAAAAACACTGAAAGCTATAGGCCTGGGGAAAGACTTTATGAAGAAGACTTCCATGGCAATCACAACAACAAAAATAAATCAATGGGACTTAATGAAACTGAAAAGCTTCTGTACAGCTAAGGAGACAACAACCAAAGCAAATAGACAATCTACATAATGGGAAAAGATATTGGCATATTTTGAATCAGACAAAAGCTTGATAACTAGGATCTACAGAAAACTCAAATTAATCAACCTGAAAAAAGCCAACAATCCCATATATGGGCAAGAGACATGAATAGAAACTTCTGTAAAGACAAACAAATGGCTAACAAACATGAAAAAATGCTCATCGTCCCTATTAGAGAAATGCAAATCAAAACCACCCTGAGATATCATCTAACCCCAGTGAGAATGGCCCACATCACAAAATCTCAAAACTGCAGATGCTGGTGTGGATGTGTTGAGAAAGGAATACTTTTACACTGCTGGTGGGACTGTAAACTAATACAACCCTTTTGGATTTTTTTTATTTTTTGCAGTTTTGGCTGGGGCTGGGTTTGAACCCGCCACCTCCAGTATATGGGGCTGGTGCCCAACTCCTTTGAGCCACAGGTGCCACCCAATACAACCCTTTTAGAAGGAAGTATGGAGAATCCTCAAAGAACTCAAGCTAGACCTTCCATCTGATCCTGCAATCCCATTAATGGGCATCTACCAAGAAGGAAAAAAATCCTTTTATCATAAGAACACTTGCACTAGACTGTTTATCGCAGCTCAATTTACAATTGCTAAAATGTGGAAAAAGGCTTAATGCCCACCAACCCAGAAGTGGATTAACAAGCTGCGGCATTTGTATACCATGGAATACTATTCAGCCATTAAAAAAGATGGAGATTTTACATTCTTTGTATTAACTTGGATGGAAGTGAAACACATTATTCTTAGTAAAGCATTACAAGAATGGAGAAGCATGAATCCTATGTATTCAGTTTTGGTATGAGGACGATTAATGACCTAGTACACAGTGGGGAGTGGGGGAAGGGGGGAGAAAGAGAGAGAGAGGAGGATAGGAGAAAGGAAGAGCAGAAAGAGGGAAGGAGGGAGGGAGTGGGGTCTCAGTTTGTGACACACCTTTTGAGGGCAAAGCACAATTGGAAGAAGGACTTTACCTAACAAATGCAATCAGTATAACCTGGTTTCTTATACTCTCAATGAATCCCCAAT